GACCAAGAACTGTGAGCGCGGCTCGACAGTTGGAACTATGTTCCTACCTAAATAGTTAAATTCTAGGTACGAACCTCAGGTCAACTGGAATTTAATGATATATGGATCTTGGCCCATTAAGAGAATCTCTAGGAGAATCTCCGAATCAACATTGAGGGTTGTTGGTTTGTTAAAATAGTGGGAAATAATTAATTAAAAGGCCTAATTAATTATTTAACATGATAGATAACCTAGTTTGCAATTTCATTCTGTAGATGACATCGAATAACACGTACAGTCATTCCATCAACCTGCGCTATATCCTCGAGAGCCAAAAACTCTCCGGGGAAAACTTTCTTGACTGGGAGAAGAACCTCCGGATCGTTCTTGACCGTAGGAGGAAACTTTACATCCTCGAAACGGATCCTCCCAAGACCCCTAAGGCAAATGCTCGTACGTCCAAACTCACTTCCTTCTAGAAGTATGAGGATGACGCGCGAGATGTTAAGTGTATCATTATGGCAAGTATGACCGCAGAGCTCCAAAGGCTCCACGCGGACATGGAAGTGTGTCCTATGATACAACGCTTGAGAGACCTTTACCAGGGTCAACCCCAAAACTCAGATATTTACGTTATCGAAGTCAATATGTCTGATTTCACCTCTTGGGTGATGGATACCGGATGTGGTTCTCACATCTGTACTTCTATGCAGAATTTGCATGAAGTTAGACATTTGACTGAGGGAGAAGTCCAGCTTAAGGTCAGTAATGGAGCACTTGTCAATGCGCTGGCTGTAGGAACTTATGTTCTATCTCTCCCTAGTGGCTTGTTGTTGCATTTAAACAATTGTTTGTTTGTACCTGCAATTAGCAGGAATATCATTTCTGTGTCCTGTCTTGACAAAGCAGGATTTTCTATTAACATCAAAGACAAGTGCCTTTCGGTTTTCAGAAATGATATTTACTATGCAACTGCTAAGATGACCAATGGTCTTTATATCTTAGACTTAGACGCCACTGTTTATAACGTAGATGTTAAGAGAAGCAAACCAAACAGTTTGAATCTCACATACCTTTGGCATTGTCGTTTGGGCCACATTAACGAGAAACGCATATCTAAGTTACGTCACTCTGGCGTACTTGATTCATTTGACCTCGAGTCTTATGATGTATGCCAATCTTGTTTACT